GGTTACTTACTGTAACTGGAGAGTCTTTGAGATGTGTTGTCCCAATCTGTATTCCACTACCCGCCCTCCTTCCCCTCTGGTTCGGAATCCTATTGCATTGCAATAAGAGGAGGAACTAGAGAGGCGTCGACCCACACCATCCCTTATACCATCGGTCAGGAGCATGAGGGAAGATACTGCGCAAGTGCGGGTCAACAGACACTGCTTGGAAAAACTTCCAGACTCAGGCACATGGCGTGCATGCATACCCACATGTGGAATATAGACCTGAAGAATGTCCAGGAACAATAAGTAACCTCCTCTTCCCAGGCCCTTGATCTAACCACAAAGAAACATTCCCTCTCTTAAATTTTAAATATTCCATCTAATGTTAGCCATACATTAGGACATACATTTGAACTATGAATCATTCAGTCTAGATGACATGCATTTGAAGGACTGAGGATTTTCTGTATTCCCCTTTATTTGTCCCCATTCATCTCTCGTCTACCCCATACTGTGCTGATGAACTAATCCATTCAAAATAGACTTGATGCACTTCCCGCACGTAGGGTCAATACCATTTCAAGCATCAGTCAGAGGGAAGCACTAGAGACATGAAGAGTGCTTGCTCTCTTTCCCCAGGAGGTGAGAATGCTGCCGCCACAGCCCCCCTGGCCCCAGAAAGCAATGAGCTTGAGACTCAAACATGCTTTGAAAAAATAATTTAGACTTTTCCTTTAAATTGATGCCAGTCTTAAAATCTCCTACACCACAGTGTTTCTAATGGGGCCAAAGTGGCAGCATTTAATAACAGCTTCCTTGCAGATTTCCTTCTGAAGCACTGACTTCAGTGAGTTATCTTAAAGCCACAATATGTTGCAAACACCCACCCAAAGACTATTGGTCTAATAAAAGATATTACCTCACCCAAAGACTGACATCCTCCTAGTACAACTCATTCACCATAGTGGGATTTGCATTACTAGTTGTTCTTTGGGCTTAGTGTGAATCACTGGAGAAGACAGCCCAGTTCAAGTTCACAAATTAATCACATTAATCATTAACCACAAAAAAAAAAATCAGAAATAATGTATTTTTAAAAAAAAGACAGCACTTGATACTCAATGCAAATTAACACTGTTTCCTAAGGAGTTCTCTACTTGAGTCAAAATACGTCTTCTAACTTCAATATTTAAAATAGAGCAGTCTAAAAGGTGTTCCTTCTACAGCATTAACTACCTGCTATAAGCAAATTGATAGGGTAAGGGATATTTATCCCATCCACAGTGGACTAGGATTTATTACCATGTATTACACATTTCCAAACATAAATAAAAATTAATAAATTAAGACTATCTGTGAGTCACAAACTAACTGGTGCACAGAGCTATTGTACTTACTGGTGGATGTACTACTGCCCTCTAATGGATAGACTGAGACAGGCTCCAGCATGCATATAGTGTCCAGAATCCTACTGTCCAGGCCTCTTTATGTTCAATTTTAAACTAAAATGTACAAAAAATATGAATCAACCAAATAGGTGACTTCATATAATTAATGTTATTGCCCCGTAATCTACACCCAGGGTTCGCCCTGCACTTTTACCATGATGTCTGATTAACCACTCCTTCCTAGACTCTACTCTGCCATTCCTTGTCTTGGTACTTCCTTCATCTCAAGTTCCCACGCCTAGAATATCCACCCTGGTTTTGTACCCCATGTAATGCTCCTTCAAACCCCTCTTCAAGACTCACCTCTTTTGGTCAGCTTAGTACCCTCCTCCTAGACATTGTCCAAGCCAAAATATTACTTTATTAAGAACCAAAAGCCAAGAAAGCTCTAACAAGACATGTTCATAACACTCAGCTTATCTTTCAATCTTTCTTTGTTGCCACCCTCCAATACCTCCCATTCCCCCTCCCTTTGCTCTTCTTTTCCCTCATTGTGTCAGTCTAATTTAGATTATAAACTGCTCAGAGCAATACATCACTTTATTTGCCAGTAAAGCAGTATGCACACCTACAGTACTGCATCTTCTTCAAGTGATGTCTCCAATGTAGAGGCTGTTGACCACCAACTTCCATCTTTTGCAGTCACAACAAAGTTGTAAAACTTCCACTCTTTTTTGGATACCAATCCACCTGATGACATTTCCAATGTAACTGACCCTCTTTCTTTCTCTTCCTGGTTTTCCTGTGATCATGTCTGATAGTATGAGTGCTGAAATGTCCATAAAAAGATGTTAGTCTTTTACCTAGGGTCTCAAGTAATTTTACTCTTTTTAAATTAATCCTTCCCATCATTTCTTCATTCATATGTCTACACACACAGCGCTGCAGTGGCACAACTATACCAATACAGCTATGCTGCTACAGCACGTCTGGTCAAGACACTCCATGCTGGCGGGAGAGAGCTCTCCCATCAACATAAAAAAAACACCCCAGTGAGCCGCAGAAGCTCTCCCACTGACATAGCGCTGTGCACACAAGCGCTTATGTTGGTGTGACTTATGTCACTCAGGAGGGTGGTTTATTCATGCCCCCGAGCGACATAAGTTATGCTGACATAGGCTATCCATATGTAGCACTTCAGCATTCTAGTGCAGATGTGCAGTTTTAAATTTTGACAACACAGAAGTCTTTGGAAGTTGCTGAATATATCTTTTACAAGCTGTATCCCTCTCTTGATTTCTTTATCACATCTCCTGTCTGATGTTGTTAGATCCCTTAAATAGGGGAACCTATTCACTTGTTCCACCACTCAACCACCAAAGTATAGAGGTTGCCTACTTTGTGCATCACTGTTTACTTACTTACTATTGCATAAATAATAAAAATAAAAGACTGATTAAAAACAAGTAGCTCTTCTTTGTGCTCTGAACAGCATCAACCTCAGGAACAGGGTGAAGTGAAAGCCTTGTGAACCCACTCTGTTTCTTCATCCTGTATCTTCTTGTGTTCACCGTCCTGTGCTGGAATGGAGGTCGATAAGGAATATAGAAGAGAATGCCATGGAAACAGGGACACAGAAATGCTTATGTCTTTACCACCACCACTCAAGTCTCCTTCCACCTTGGACAGCAAAGAGCCCCGCTCTGTGACTAGAGGAGCTCATAATAAAGTACCAACCAAGTGATTACCCATGCACTATATCATTAACAATGGTCCCAGATGGTGGGAATCTTCCATTCCAGCCCATTCACCTTAGCAAATGATTAATGGTCTTGGAATTCAACTAGGACCATAGAAACAGGAGCATGATCACTTGTGGATCACTGGGAACAATTCTGTATTTGAATGAGTAGTGTGCTACAGAACTGTAAGGCTGTCAGAACAGTGCTTAGCACTACCATAGGCAATTAATAAAAAGAAAAGGGGTACTAGTGGCACCTTAGAGACTAACCAATTTATTGCTCATGAAAGCTTATGCTCAAATAAATTGGTTAGTCTCTAAGGTGCCACTAGTACTCCTTTTCTTTTTGTGAATACAGACTAACACGGCTGCTACTCTGAAACCTGTAATAGGCAATTAATATTATTGCACTTCTTACCTACTGTAAGTACTACTGTACTTAATATAGGCAAGACCTCAGGAAGAACAAGTTCTGCAGTCAGAAGTACTCTACCAATGATTCCCTCCACTAGTCCCATAAAGTCTAGGAACTAGCAGATCTTAAACTTCTTGATGGGCACTAGAGAGAGAAAGGCAATCTCTCAGACCATTTACAGCTTCACAGATTGTAAACAGTACCTTACTTTCTAGGTGCAATGTAACAGGCACTAAGTGGAAACTTACATTTGTGCTTTGTTGACTATTGTGACTTTGTTTTCCTGTAAGTTTGTACAGTTCCTAGCTGAATGGGGCTATAATCCTGACAGCTCTTTGCATGCTACCATAATAACTAATATGAATACATATAGTAGTAATGGATAAGAAACTGATGAGAAAACAATTTTTTACTTTACTACAGTATTGGTCTAAGACTAAATAACATTTGGTTGTTGTTTTGTTGACAGAAGGAACAATTGATTTGCAAACAGAAATATACGCCCTGATTCTGTACTTATGTACATGCTTAAATTTATTCCTACAATGGGAACACTCATGTCCACAAATTTAAGCATGTGCATGCTTGCAGGGCAGACGCAACATTGAGATGAAGGGGAAGATCTTTCTAGCAGGACTGCTTCATGATGGAGCCAGTGGCACGATGAACAACGATAGATCAGAACCCAGTAGGTTTGAATCTTGCCTGAGTCATAAGTTACTGCAGCTTTTATAGTGTAGCAGTTCTAACGTTTGCCTAAGGCATTAGATGTCCCTTAGCTTGAAACCAAGCAGGATTATTTTAGGGAATCAGACACCACAGTGATTACGCTACATACAAACTTAAATGGAAACAGAACCTTTACAACAGGCACATTTTTAGGCCAACTAACACTGAAAGGGAAACTGGAAATGGAAAGCACCTGTTAGGCCATCTAGTCTGTGCCTTGCCAGCGTCGGATTGTTCTGTGCCATACACTGTTCTGTGCTCATTCATTATCCCTTTTAATAAGGTGGTTGTTCCAAGCAGGTAATTCACTTATTTAAAATAGTGGCAGAAGATACGCGGCATCTACTGACATTCAGGCATCAGCTTTTAGGGTGGCAGGGAGATGCCCTGGCGCAAAGCTCCCTGCGGGGGGAAGGGCTGCTGAGCAGCGCGCAAAGAGCCCCCTTCTAAATGAATGCCTCGAGGGCGCTGCAGACGGGGCGCGGCATCCGTCCCCTTCGCCCCTGGGGGGCTGACTGAACACCCCCTGCCCGCCGCTCCTCTCCCAGGGAACCCCGTGCCGGGCGCGTGCCCCCTCAGACGGTGAGAACCAGCCGCCGCCCGCCCAAGAAGAGAAGGCGATCCAGCAGCAGGCGCGCACGCGCGGGGACGCAGCGCCCCGGCCCCGCCCTCGGCACAGTAACAACCTCCCTACCCTGACGTCACCCGCACAAAGAAGAAGGGCTTCGTGCGGGCGGCGTTCATAGCGCGCATGCGCACGGCTCACTCAGTCCGCTTGCGTTGGGTTGGTTACAGGGAACCGCCGCTCGATGGCTTCCCCGTTGCAGCCCGGAGAGTTGAGCGGGAGGGACGCTTCCGGTGGAGTGGCGGCTGCATGACAGGCAGGGCGGAGAGGTGAGGCCAGAGTGGTGGGGGGGGGCGGGTGTCTGTGAGGCCTGGTTAAGGGGAAAGCGGGGAGCCCGGGAGGCTGTGCGCAAGGGGGGGGCGGGCGCTACTGCGTGTGTTGGGGGGGGAGGGGCTCGTGCGTGTATATATTGCGGGAGGGGTACCGGGGGGGGGAGGAGTGGTCGATGGGAGGGGCTTGTGTGTGTGTATATTGTGGGAGGGGGCTCCTGTGTGCTCTGATGTGGGAAGGAGGAGTGCTGCTGTGCAGGGGGCTTCTGTGCCTGTTGGGTGGGGTGGAGGAGAAGCTTGTCTGTGTGGTGTGAGGGATAGCAGCTGTACCTCGCCATAACGAACAGCTTAGTGTAGGGGGTGAATGTATTGGCCCTGAACTGTACCAGGGGTTCCTAGCCATAGAGACGTGTTACGATGTCCCCACCATGGGTACTGCAGGCTTTTGCAATTGATGCTCGCCATGGTATCCATCAGGGTCTTGTAAGTTCTGGATGCGGCAATGAGATGAAATGTTTCACTGTTTAAATTTAAATAAATATAATTTCGTTGACTTTTTAAAAATAAAACTAATGGGAACATTTTTGTTTTAATTTGGTACTGTAACCCAACCCCTTTATTTTTGCTTGTCAAAATCTAAACTGTGCCTCCTACCTAGAATGCTAGTGTCCTTCCTCTTCATGGAAAGCACTTGAAAATAATGTAGGGCCCTTCGAATGGACAGCAATGTAGCAGTAAGAATTAGTTCACATTTTATCAGAAGCTGTTGGAAGGAGACAGATGGCTATTGTTGATGGGGATCGCTCTCTTCTGCTTCTGGCCTTCTTTTTGCATTGTTGCCTATCTCTAAACACATTGTCAGGTTAAAAATTTTATTAATAAGGGAGAACTAATCCTGTGGTCTGCAGGTCTTTTTAAAGACCATACTATGGGGGGGCCAGAGTGGAGGAAGGGGGAGAGGCAATATGGGGGAGGAGTTAATAGGAGCAAAGGAGAGGGAAAGAGTGGCAGTCATGAGGAAAGGAGTGGGAAGGACAGTGAAGGAGTGGGATAAGGTCAGGGCAAACAACCTGTCAGAAAACAGCATTCAGTGTTAAACTGCTAGCAGTCAGTTTGATAACATCACTGGCATGAAGAAGTGTGGCCCAGCCCCTAGCGCTGCTAGCTCACAGGTGGGCGAACTATGGCTAGCGGGCCAGCTCGCCAGCCAATTTAATCCAGCCCTCGAGCTCCCTCTGGGGAGCTGGGTCAGGGGCCGCTCCGCACAGCTCCTGGAAGCAGCGGCATGTCCCTTCTCTGGCTCCTATGCATAAGGGCAGCCTGGGGGCTCCGCACGCTGCCCCCGGAGCTCCCATTGGTCAGGAACTGCGGCCAATGGGAGTTGCAGGGGCAGCATCTGCAGACGGGGCAGGCACAGAACTGCTTGGGGCGGGGGCATCGTGCGGTATCAGTAGTCTTTCACCTACTAGGCTCAGACTTTCCATCTGCTTCTCACAGAAACTCAGGTCACCAAGGAGACCAGTTTGGATAGCTCTTCAGACACTTGTGGGAGTTTTCAACTTTTACTCGTTTCATCTCTGTGGTATTCTTAGATTAGACAGGATTAGCTAAGGACTCCAACCTTGGATTAGGCTATTTAGAAGATCCCAACAGGGACTATTAAATTAAAAGCCCATCACCATTCTGCTGTCTTGCATCATCTAGGAGCTAAGAGTGGTTTCATCTCTCCTGGCACAGTGGAAAAGGGAGACTGAAGAGGGTTGGTTGTGGCACAGTAGAATGCATTGGTATCTGTGAAGGTGGTGGCCAATGCAAAATAATAATCAATCCCACACTCCTTTTTAGGTCTGGCCTACAAATGCAGGACTTCAGGATATCTGTTTAGAAAGGGCCAGTGCTGTGATTCAGCATGGCTGTGTGATGTTCTCTAGCTGCTGGAGAACGAGAGCCACTGTAGCACAGGAGAGATTTAAGAACTCTACCATGTGTAGCCCATGGTTGTGATAAACTGAGGTGCTGGACTGCAGCCGTTCCAAAGCTGTTCTCTTCTCACATTAGGACACTGCTTTGCCTTAAAGCCTCTGACACTTTGCTTGACCTCCCATTGTAGTTCTTCTCATATTTTCTTTTGACCCAGAACTCTTCATTATTCTTTGGGTGCTGAATTCACTTCCTCCCCCTGTTTCGTCTCGCTATTGAGCACCAGTCGGAGCAAATCTAAGGAGGCGATTGTGCACCAGCTCATCCGCTATGTAGAAGCCCACGTGGGGTAATATTTACTTCTAGATAATGTTATTAAACAAAATGTTCCCTATTAATTTAGTTAAATCTGCTTGGCTCTGTCCTACAGATTGTCTTCACTGTTCCCTTTATCCATCTCTTCAATATTTTATGCTCATCTTGATTCTGTTGTTGGTTTCTGGATGCAGTTGTGAAATGCTTTTTAAAAGAGAACAAGCACTGTAAACTTTAAAGTCAATCTAGTGCTCATGAAAGAAGGCGGACAGCTCTAGAGATTTAAACCATCACCTATTCACCAGACAAGCATGATATGGGCAGCACAAGGGGTTTGAAGTCATTACAGAGTCATAGGAATCCCATATGATCTTGTTCACTAACCCTATATGACATAAATTGCTTGCAACTCCACTGCCAGGAATATCCCAAGCAGAGGATTGTACCTCTGTGCCTCATATACAATGTGTTCTCAGGGGAGCTGACTGCAATAACAGAGAAAAGCGGATTTAATCCTCTTCTATGTATGTACTATTCCTATTTCCGTAGGTTTGACAGCTATAAACAGGAGTATCAGAGGGCAGTCTGCTGCTGAAGGCAAGAAAAAGGGTTAATCTTTTCCTTCTCTCCCTCTTTCATTTGTCTCATCTTGTGTAGCTGTTTCCCCATTGATCCCAGCAAGTAGAGTGAAACTAACAAGGATTGTCAGGTTCATTAAGTGGACAGTAGCAGCCTGAGAGCTATTCTGTGGGGAAGAACAAATTTAAATAGAGAGGAAGATGAGGAAAGAAATGGGGAAGGAGAAATGTGAAGAGAGGAAGAGAGCTGAAGAAAAACATCAAAGGGATCATTAGGGGGGAGAGAGAATTGCTCTTGTGGTCTAGCAGTAATGTTTGGAGTATCACTCTGAGAGCATCTTATATTCTAGAGATTCTGTTTGGCTGTCTGAAGGAGCAGAAGTGAGGGACTCTGGAGGGAGTCTCCTTGGTTGGAGGGAAGTTTGCTGACATGTTGGCTCTCTTGGAAAAGAGAAGGCAAAAGTGGAAAATTTGGATTTTCCTTTTCCTTTGCCTCCAAAAGAAATAGTTGGAGGAGGGAGGTGGGGAGGTGCTTTAAACAAAAGGACAGATATGCGAGAAAATGGACAGAAAACAACATCATGGTGGAGGACGTGCATGAAATCCAAAGAAATGAGGAATGGGAGAAAGAGATGGAGGTATGAATCCATCAATGGGAACTGGGTGCCTAAAAATCTTTTGAGGATCTTGGCCTGAGTCTTCATGCCATTTAATCCCTGGCTTCTCTGCAGAAACTACCAAATTAAGTGATGTCTCTATATGGAGAACTGTGTACGGTATTAGGAATTAGACTAATTTTACATAGAGCTGGGATGACAAACCTCAGATGTGCTAAAAGTGATACCTAATGTGTTTTACGGTTATGCCAATGACATTGGCATTAGCTGTGTTGCAGTGAGAAATGCAGCCTCAAGCATGATGCCCTCATCCTGTGTGAATTACAAGTGTGATTTGAGGGTGGAAGAAGGATCATACTGGCAAATGCTTGGGATCCTGGAACATCTCAAAGAGCTGCAGTTTTTCCTCTTCCTTCTGTAGGGAAGTGTGTATATGTGTGCGTGTCCATTCTTTGCCCAGAGATGTCTGCTCTTTCCAATTATGCCTTGCGGATGGCCCGCCTGAGTGCCCGGATATTTGGAGAAGTTGTCAGGCCAACAGACAATAAGTCCATGAAAGTAGTGAAGCTGTTCAGCGAGCAGCCCCTCGCCAAACAGAAGGAGGTCTACGATTGGTATCCCCCTCACAACACCTACTTCGCCCTCATGAAGAAACTCCGCTTCTTTGGCCTTTACAGGTGATCCATGTGTGTAATGTGGGGGTTGGTGGAATGGACTGAATGAGTTGTGGATTCTACTAGGGTTGTGTTAAAGCAGCAGCAGCACTATTAAAATGGTGCAGATCAGAAGACAGACAGTCCGAATAGAAGAAGCACTTTTTTGCTGTGCTTGGTGTGGGAAGAATAGAGTAAAATGTGAGCTGGTTGTTCGATAGTTTTTCCTATTTGGATGCACTGAACCTCTTTTGTGGGCAAGAGTTCATAGACCAATGGGTGTAGTTAAGCAATCACGTGTCAATGTGGGACATGCTTTTTCTATCTCAGCAGTTCTCAAACCGTGGGTTGGGACTCCAAAGTGGATCACGATCCTGTTTTAATGGGGTTGCCAGGGCTGACATTAGACTTGCTGGGGCGGCCTGGGCCCAAAACTGAAACCTGAGCACAGGTTTCACCCTGGGCTTTTGGCTTTGCCCCCCTCCCCCCCCCCCCCAGAGGCTGGTGGGCTCAGGCTTTGTCGTAGTCTCCCTTCCCCCTGGTTTGTGTGATAATTTTTGTTATCAAAAGGGGGTCGTGGTGCAAGAAAAGTTTGAGAACCCTTGTTCTAGCTGTTTGGGGCAGGGGCCTTATCCATTAAGAAGACAGTGCTTTGCAAATCTGATGAATGATGAGTGTGATGTCTGTCTGCAGAACAGAAGCTAAAACAACAATTATGCGGTGTGCTGTTCTTTCAAGGAGCTGCAAAAGATTTATAGCATGTTAACACACCAACTGCTAAAATACTCTTACCCTGGCTACTTCAGCACCTACCTTGAAATTTGGTGGTGATTGATTTTTCTTTGGGTTTTAAAAAACTAGGTCATCTTCAAACCATCCAAAATGAAGGAAAATTGTTTTCCAAATATAGGTGGACACAACTGACTAGAAACATTTATATTCAAGCTTCTAAATGAGTATTACAATTTTGAATAAGAAAACACTGAACCGATTTACCTGTAGATATTCTTTGAGGCAGTTAAATACAGCCCTTTCTCTGGCCAAATGGCATGGAATTTATAGGAGTTTCTTTAGTAGGTAGAATTTGTTTCTATTTCTAGTATGGTATAGTGAGCATTGCCTGCACTATTGTAAAAACAACACTTCCTAGAGTAACTTCCTCTTGGCACAAAACGCCAAACTATAAACTGTGCTCGCTGAAGTGTCTTGTTTCTTGTGTATGCTCAGAGAGGCCTGCAGTGGCTCAGGCATGCTATTCAGAAACAAATGTTGTGGCAGGCAGTAGACGTTAAGACACAGGTCTAGAGATCAAGTGGGCCTGGGAATAATTCATCAGCTTTTCTGGAAGTATTAAAAATAGCAGGGAAGCAGCCTCAGACCAGCTTGAGGTGCTACTACCCATTTTCCCACGCTTTGCACTGCTAAGTTACATTTGGGTGGCAGATGGAGTGGAATTTATTTAAAGGGTTCTCCAGGATGTCCTATCCTGTCCTTCCCCACTCCTGTTCACTTTTTTACTGCTTTTTTACGGCACCTAGCGCCGGTGGGTCCTGCTTCATGACTAGGGCTCCTAGGCACTGTGATAATACAAATAAATAATAAAGATCCCACTGGTGGATATAGATTCCTCCAGAACCCATCAGTGGAATCAATTGAGAGCAATGACAGGTATAACTGCAGCCTGCCCTGCCTCTCTTCTCAGGAGCTAATGACCCAAACTTGAGTCTCTGCATGGCATTACAACACAAGATGAGACTTCTGATTGGAAGGGGGGACATTCTGATTTTTGTCTCTTGTTGATTTTGTATTTTACTTCCCATTTGAGCACAATGGATCAATAAATATACTGAATGAAATATATATCATTTGTTACTGATGAAGGCAATGTTGTTAATTTCATAAGTACCAAAGAAAATATTTCAAATTATTCCGTGAGTGTTTGCAATGTTATTGCTAACAGTAAATGTAATGAGATTCAATATCTGCTTCATTCTCTAACACATCTGGACAACCATCAGACTTGCCTGGGAATAGGTATGGGTGGGGGGGTTGGAGAACATTGGATAAACAACAAAACTGCAAGCCAGGAAATTTGAATCCTGTTTCTCATTCTTCCACAGACTTGGTGTGACTGAGCAAGTCCCTTCACTTCTAAGTCTTGGTTTCCCCCACCTTTTAAAATAGAATAACACTACCTCACATGTTGGTGATAGGCTTCATTCCTTAATTTCTGTTAAGTACTTTGAGATTCTTGAATGGATGGTGCTGCTGTAATGCAAAATAACATGTTATTGTTTTGTTTTCCTCTCGATGTAAAACACACTAGGATAGTGTACACATTGTATAATATTTAGTTTAGTTCTCATCTTGTTTAATGTACATCTCTCCATTCTTCGAGGTGGGAATCTACCATTCTGAGTGGGAAGTATTGGCTGCCAGAACCCACTGCACTCTTGTTCTTTTGGAAGAAGTTAAATTTAACCCTCTTCCCTCTCTTTCCTCCATCCAGAGATGAACATCAAGATTTTAAGGAAGAGATGAGACGGCTGAAAAAGCTCCGTGGTAAAGGAAAACCCAAGAAAGGAGAAGGAAAGAGAGCTACCAAGAAGAAATAGAGCTACTTTGGAAATGCAACAGACTACTTTGGAAATGTCAGAGTAAAAGCAACCCTATCCCTTTCTTCCCAGCCAGAGGTGGCTTTGCATGCAGCTGAGTTCCTGGCTGCAGTGGGGAAGGGGTGTAAGCAGTCTGTCAGATATTAAACTCTGAATTGAACTCTGTTTTTACTAGGCCTCTTTGAGCACTCAGGTTTTTGGGGGATGATTTTTTTTTCCACCAGTGACTGTATGTATGGGAATCATTCAGTATGTTCCAGCACCCATGATGATGATTATTTGGGTTTCAATTGCTATTGGAGCCCTTTTCTACCTGAGTCAGCAATAAAAAAACAGTCTACATTTTTGGTATTCACATCTGCTGCTTTCAGTCCTTATTTCTTTGGCTTTTCACTTTCGCCAAAATACTACATGTTCTATCTTCTTTCATTCATTAAGTATGTTTTACCTCTTTGTATTGATCCCAGTGCTGTTTGGTTCAGACTCAGTAAGAATGATGCCTTCTGCTACTGTGTAGCCTGGAACATCAATTTATAATGCATGCAGCTTTACCCACCCTATCCTTTACCTTGGTGGTTGCTTTTATTTAATGCTAGAAACAGTTCATTTGCATTATGCACTGGAGGGCACTTCCTGGTCTCCTCCTTGCCCACAGCACTCTCATTGTACTGTGTGTAATTAGATCTACATATGATAGAAGTTGTGGTGTGAGGATTCTAAATTGCTTCCAAGTTCTAGTCCCCACCAAATGAATTACTGTTAAATACGTATTACTCCAAAAGGAGATCAGACAAGGATGTTTGTTTGTCTGTAAGGACATGTATGTATTATTCCAGAAGGAAATTAACTCAAGTTCATTGATATTGGGGGTACCTTTATATCTAGGCTCCTGCAGCGTTATCCATATTCACAGCTATGTGTCTCCTTACCCTTCTTTTGTCTGTCTTCCTGTCTATTCATTCCCTTTACGTGGGTGCAGCAGCAGAAAATACATCCACATCTGTTCCTCCTGCTCCCTGTGTTTTAGGTGTACCTTTCTGGCCCTTTTCCCACTTTAATGCTGATGCCTTCTCTTCCAAGCCTATAGGCACAGCTCTTTCCCCACTTGCACAATGTACTGCTAACAGTCCTCCCTTGGCTGCCTTCCTGGATGTGGCAAGTGAATTAGCAGGAGAGGGCCAAGTTAAAAGGCTTGTGTGCATGATGGGGGAGAATGTAGTACGTAGCAAGCCTTCAAACTCCAGAGGCACCTACTGAAATAAACATCTTCTGCATACGCTGGAACATACAGACACACGCTGAATGTAAAAATCATCAGGGGTTGTACTCTTCCCTGTGTATCTATACCACATGAACTTGAGAATGGGGGTAACTTGATAGGTATGCTCCAACTGGAGATACCCAGTAGAAATTCGTGTGTGGGTCTATGCATTCATGGTCATGTTAGGGATGAGGTTTTATATAGACAATCCAAATTCAAAAATATGGCTTCTGGAGCTTACCATCCACTCCTTGTGCAGCTCTAGTGTTTAGTATTCCAATACATGAGATTTTCTATGTATCTTAGATTAGTTAATCCTTATTTTATGGTGTCTTTCCTGGCAAACAGTAATCAACTAGGTTTTCTCTCTCTCTCTCTCTCTCTCTCTCACTAACTGTATGTGTGTTTAGAGTGCTGAGATACAGTTGGAGAGGAGACTTTAACTTTGTTTCTAGACTTTTGAGCATTTAAAAATCTCCACTAATAAATTATGTAATATTTTTTCCAATTCATACTACAGTATACAAATGAGCACCCATCACAAATTCTGGCCACCTTTGGCAAATGTCTAAAAAATAATAAACCAACTCCAGCACTTACACGCAAACAACCACTACCCTCCTCTCAGTCGCCCCAACTCCTTGCAGGGCCGAGAGAAGAGATGGTTCTTGCAGCATGCCCTGAATAATAAACTTAGGCTATGAACTGAAACTGCAGGGCAGTGAGTTTCAAAGGCATAGATTTCCCCCAGAAATCACCTCCCAGCAGCCCTATCTCTCTTATCGTAAAGGGGCTTTATCTATCTGAAATATTTATATGGTCCTCTTTACTGTAGTATCAGAGTACCTCATAATGATTAATACATTTATCCTCACAATGCCCCCATTCGGTAGGGAAGTGTAACTATCCTCATTTTACAGATGGAGAGCTGAGAAAGAGAGATTCTAAGATTCTCTACACTGCAATATAAGAACTGTGACTTGGCCACAGCTGGCCCAGATCAGCTGACAAGGGCTTTTGGGGCTAAAAATTGCAGTGGAGATGTTTGGACTCAGGTGCCTGGCCTCTAAAACCCTGTGAGGGAGTGGGCTCAAAAACTGGGCTCCAGCCTAAGCCAGAATGTCTACTTTGCATTTTTTAGGCCTGCAGCCACCCTGTGAGGCGGAGTCAGCTGAGCCAGGGTATGAGACTGGATGCTGCAGGTTTTTTTATTACAGTGTGCTTCCCCCTTGTATAACCTTAGACTTTAGATCTACAGTTGTTTTTACAGTGGAATTACCTTACTTTGATATTTAGATGACATGGAGGCTGAGTGCACCTGAAATAATGTTACACCTATGCTCCAGCTCTTGATAGTGACAAACTCAGTTCATTGACCTTTAAATAAGGACCTGCAAGCAAAATGTCAGCTTTCATCTGTATCCTGAACAGGTTTATCGAGGTATCTTGGGAAATTTATATCACAAGGTAGGAGGGTCAGTGTCACGGTTTATTTCAAGTGAGGCATGACTGTCAGAGGAAGTGTGACACTGAGATCTAGCAAAACATTACAAAGTATAAAGAAATATGTTTCTCTATATCTGAAAATCCAGCCTTGATCTTTTGAATGCATTTGTATATTATGACAGTAACAGCAACCTTGAGTTAAGGCGGTATTTTTAAGGGTAGCAATGTTCTAAAATAGGGTTCATGAGGCTCTTTAAAACTTACTTGTTTGTATCATAATGAGAGAGTAACAGGGTGACTTGCCCCTCTAAAAGGGAGCAGGATCCAGTGCACCTGGACTGATTACCTGCTGCTCAATAGGGTTTACGGGAAAGCAACTGGGCCTTGGGAGGCGGGAGATAGCTGCAGGTGGCTGGCAGATGCCTGTTGAAACTGCAGCTAGTAAGAAGGCTGCTGAGTCAGCAGGGGAAAAGCACCAGCTGGGAGAGCTTGTAGGGAAGGCCAAACTAGGTAAGAGGTGCTGAGAGACAGACCCTCAGGGAGGAAGAGCAGTGTCTAGCTTTAGATGGGAGTGAATGAAATGAACTTAAAGGAAGGAAAGATCCTCAGGGAGGAGGGACAGAGCCCAGCTGAAACCAGGGTGAAGACTTCATATGTTTGAGTTTGCTTTTGAAAGACTTCTTGTAGGACTTAACAAATCAGAGGGGGGGAATGTTTTGAATATCTGGCCTATGTGGACTTTTTAAGGGGCCCTGAGTGAAGGAGAAATTGAGGCAGGGTGCTGCCAAACCATATTTGGCCAGAAGAAGGCACAACAGGGCAAGTATCTCCTTTGACAGAGACACACTGAGGACTTTCTTTGAGCAAAATAATTGACCTTGCACAGCCCTACCTTATGGGATCCAGTGTTGTCTATCTTTACATATCATGCAGCCTCCTATTATAGTTTAATAAATGCAGGTTTCTTTTGGAAACAGTGAAGAAGTTAAAATAAATACTATTGTGAATGTAGCCATGACTAGCACCACTTACTGAAAATGTGGGGCAAATTGATTATTAATAACTTGTATATTACTGTGATAGTAGAGGGGGAAAAAGAACAAGTATAACTTTTTTCACACCCTAGGCATGTGTGCATCATTCATGATAAATGTTAAATTTAAAATAATTCACCTGGCTGCGGGGGGAGGGGGAGAGTGTATTCTGTTCTACTAGTTTGAGTGCAGAATTGGGTAGCTGGAGATCTGGAATATGTCCCTAGTTCTGCCAGTGAGTTGCTGTTTACTCTGTGTCACTGTGCGTCAGTTTTCCCATCTATAAATTGGAATGTTTACCTACCCCAAAGAAGTGTTTTGACGTTAAGATGCTACCTGCACTGGTAGAGTATGTCCCACTCAAAGCAGAGGTAAGCTCCTACTTGTGCAAATAGCAGCTTTGCCTGTCTACACTAGGGTCTGCACTTGTGCACCTCTGCCAATGGCTGGCTATGGTGGCTGTAACGGGAGCAAATCCACAACGTACAATGGAAAATATACTTCAAAACCTGATTTCAGAGTAATTCTTTTCACACAAGAGTTGATGACACCAGTAACACCTGAAACAAGCTGTATGGCACTCTGCATTCACTGTTCTGCTTTAGGTTTCGAGATGTTCCCTTCCAGCAGCTGCTCACTCTGGACTTAATTGGTAAGTGGGGATGGAGGGAGGTGATTTTCAAACATTTTGTTTTAAATGGTAAATGTATCTGCAACTTTTAAGTGTAAACACACATTCCCTTAGTGATTTGAGTTAAGACAGTTTTGCATACTTTTTTTTTTTAACACAAAATGTGGAGGGAATGTCACTTTAGCCTCAGAATTCTATTCCCGTGTGTGGTCATTGGACACTTCTTGTACAGCTCTTGGATTGGAGCCCTCCAAGCAACACAGCTTATCAGAGAACATCTCTGAAGCCTTGTCTTCCCTACTAAAAAAAGGTCTTAAAAAAAAAAAGTCCTCCAGGCAGCTATTACTTGTGAGCAATCCCAACATGAAAACACCGTGAAAAACAAAGCACTTTTTTACCATGAGATAAATTAGGCAAGATCAAACGCAGGCACGGGTAGAGGGTTGACCTCACCTTGTGGTAAATTAAAACCTTGTCTTTACTGTGTTTGTACCTCAGGCTAGCTTGTGTGTTAGTTACCCTGAGGTAAAAAATACGCCCTTCTTTTTAGGCAGTAAAGAGAAGGTTTGGCCTGTGCCCTCTTGACTGAGAATCCAGAGTGTAAGGGCAGGCACTCTTCCTGTGCAACATCTTCTAGGGGTTGGAGGCTGTTTCATGTCTCCAAAACTACTTGCATGAAATTCCTTTATAACAGCCTTAGACTCAAGGGTCTAATTAAAAACAAGACTTAGTAAGAATGGAGGAGTAAATTAAAACAAATGGTTTACATAACCTTTGTAATTTTTATATTAGGCCAGAATTAAACTAGGTAGGTACATCTTGGGCCAGAGCCTTAAGACTGACCTTTCGGGTACAGATCAGCTTGGTGGAAGAGGAGATGTAAAGGTTGCACAGCCTGATATCTCATTTCCTGTTCCCTGTGCACTTTCTTGCCCCCTTCAAAACCAATCTGTGTTGGGGAATATGGCAGGGGGGGAAGGACTAA